TCACTCACAGGTCAGGTCATGTGGAATTTGTGGCGGACAAAGTGGTATTGAGACACGTTTTATTCGAGTACTTCGGTTTCCCCTGCCAATTATCATTCCATCAGCTCCTTCACATCTATCATCTGGGGCTGGTACAATAAATCCATTAGTGGCCGGCGCACCAAGTGTACCACCCCACGAATAAATCAGAACTCCTTATTAAAGTCTAAACAGCGTCTGTTTCTCTTCGTTGTATCTATATTTTCCTCCAAACGAAAGGTTATCATAGACTAAACAAATCTATCATTTTATTTGGGTGCAAACTGTGATCCCTCGCACTAAGGAAAGGGCATACATACATGAAGGGAGTTTGAGAATAGGGTGCATAAGCGAGAAATTGGGTCTGAATGGGAGGAAAGGTCCGGATGCTGATGAAAGTTGCATAACGAGGAGCTTCATGTCACCAAGTATCATTAGGGTGATCAAATCAACGAGGATGAGAAGGGTGGATAATGTATCACACAGGGAATGGATAAGAAATAAATGGGGTTTCAGTCGGACCGTCAGTCACAACGTGACTTTGACTTTGGATTAGGTCAGAGTTGAGTGGAGAGAGTTGTCGGTGAGATATAGTCGCGGGAAGTTAGTCGTTGGAGAAGAACTGGAAGTCAGCCTGGGGCCACACGAGCGCACGAAGTACGTCCGTTGCAACGAACGTACTTTATGACGGACGTTGCTCAGGACACCACACAGTTGTAGAATGAGGTGCGTAGTTTTTTGTCTGCAATGGAGCAAGAAGAAAGCGTAGCATTCACCTCTCTTGTTTATTTCTACAACGGACGTCACGAAGTGCATTACAACGGACGCATTTTGTGCGCTCGTATGGCCCCAGCCTTAAGTGTGTACTTTTCTTTTTCCTGTGCCGCTACAGCCCCAATTTGGGCCTAGGCCTACCTCCATGAAACTCTCCGTTTCACTTCAGTTTACTATATCTTAAACATTCGGTAGGACTCTTTGGGCGGTGATCAGCTCGTCGCAAGGCCTCTACCTGTACACAAACACAGAAAAACGCACATACACAAACACTAAACATCCATGCCCTGAGTAGGATTCGAACCCACGATCCCGGCTTCCAAACGAGCGAAGACGGTGCATGCCTTAGACCGCTCGGCTACCGTGACCGGCAAGTGTGTGACTTTACATGTGTTATAATTACAGCAATCTTGAGAGTGTTATAATTATTTATAATTACGACTGGTGAATATCTAGTAAATCGACTCACCAATCCAAACCCCTTCTACAAGTCACTAAAACACGTGAAAATATTTTCAGTGCAGATAACGCATAAAAATTAGCATGCCCTCGTAATCATTTGAATCGAATAATTGACTCAGAGTATTAGTTAATCACCGAAAATGTTTCCTCGATTAACAGCCCTTTCTGTCGAGTATATCCAAATTTTTCGTCCATGCGTAAGTCACACTCCTTTGGGACAGATTATGGATCACTAACCAGGCATATCTTCTCTCATCTTTTGCCTGCCGGCGAAAACTACACGCATGAAAACCAATTCATGTCCGAGACTCACAATTGTGGTGTGTGTAAAGATCATTTACGGCGGGAAGTGACGATAGAAAGAGCCTTCGAGTGAAATATTTTGACTCTCTTGGTGGGTTCGACGCTGTGGTAATAAACAAAACGGACGGAATCATGGATTTGAAAATGCCACATCTGCTATGGTCAGAAATGTTTTTCTTGCAAATATATATTTCCTTTAGATTATGCATATGAAACTATGGTATAACGAGACACCACGTCAAGACGTTACACCTCTCTGTGCAAATTAAATGGCTTTTAAATCTTACTTAGTTTACGGAATATTTATGTATGAATTCGTTATGTTGGTGTAGACGTGCTGAATTCCTCCGTATTGTTTAATTCAATTACAAACACAAGGCAGGTTCAATGGCAGCATGAAATTAATCTATTACTGACTGAGGCGTTTTAGATTTCTAGGGAGCAAACACTGAAAAAAAAATCCGAGAAGGATTTTGAAATAGACATAATGTAAAAGGGGAAAGAAAATAGAAAATTTTGGTTTGGTTTCGCGGTTGTCAAGATCTTGAAACTCCCTTAATTTTATTTATTTGTTTTTAAAAATAAACGAATGTACAGAGAAGGCCTAGGCAATGCCCATCCAGTCCTCTGTAGCGCAGCCATAAATATCTATCATAACGGTCGTCCCGCGATTTTGTAATATAGTTCCTACCAATTATGCCATCTGTTGTTAAAATAGTACAAGTAACGAGAGCTGCTAAACGAGTCGAACGACCGTTGTGGCTGAACTACAAACTTGTGCACTCTACCGGATAAAGGGGAAACTTGTATGGCTCATTCATTCGTATTAAACTGACGCGCTATCGCTATTTAGCCGTACTAAAGAACTGGCAAGGTTGTCCCTGTGCTTAACTAATTAAGCACTATGCCCTTGTTGACCCTACTGGGACTCGAAATTCTACACCTCAGTTGTTCAGCCCGCAGCCAGTCGCTATACCAACTATGCTATCATGGTGTAAAGGTAAAGTTATCCCTGGGCATAAAATGAGCACTACGTCATAATGTACGTGGTTTGCAGGTATAGCTCCACCATTTCAAGCCTTTGCACCAGATGGAGGTGTGGTCAGCTTCATGTCCCTGCTGCTTTACCCCAGTGAAACAGCCCTATGGTACCTATTGAACAGGAGGCTGAATTTGGCCCCAGAGCCAGGCTGGATGTTAAGGGGAAGAGAAAAATCTCTTCGCTTGTGTTTACCGTGAATCAAACCACGACTCCTCGGCCATCCATTCCATACCCTATATGACACATTAAATAAAATATAATTTATTTCATATGACAAATGGTATTGTCCAGTAAGCAATGCGTTAAAAATATACAAAAAATGTCAATGTGATTGATACTGTGGTCTGAGTCGTGACACCGTTTAAATCTTGAAGGTGGATACATGGGCGTCCAGCAGGTGGGCCTGGGATTTCCCCCTTCTCCCTCCCCAAATCACTAAAAAATCAAATCTGCAAGAGTAGACAAAATATGAAATACTAATATCAAAAATCAAACTGTTCAAAAACATTATTCTATTCTATTTTAGGGAAATCTAAAAATATACACTTTAAATGACATAAAATTAAGTTCTGTGAGCAAATTGTCTGGCTCCCACTTTCAGAGGAACACGCTGCCTCAGCCACTGGGGTCCCACAAAATGATGGTATCCATCACGAATATACAGTGTCATAATCCAAAAGATCCAATACAAACACTCATCAGCATGCTACATGCCAGATCATGTATTTGACTTCTGATGTGGTCACTGGATTTTTCAATTGACCTAATCCTTCCAGCTGCACTATGGCAATGGGGTCAACTCAGCCTCTAACAGAAATGAGTACCAGGGATCTTCCTGGGGTTAAAGAGCGGCCGGCACACAAGGCTGACAACCTCACCACCATCTAAGAGCCAACTGTGTAGAAAATGAGTGAGCCTTGATAATTCAGAACCCTATGGGCCTCCACACCGTTACAGGGACAGCTTTACCCCTTTTACCTTTTTATTGTTAGGGAATGGGTTTTTAAATATCAAGAAAGAAAATATTTGCTTTCTGTGTACCTCAAAAATAAAAAGTCATGAAAATATGCAGTGAACCACACATCATTTTGCTGCTATGAGTAGGAGAAACCAGAGGCTGGTTGGATGTGAACTAACTAATGATGACATATTATGAATGTGAGCAAATCTCTCAAAGCATGCATTTAAAAACAAACATAAATCTTATGGTGGAAGACTTTTCTTCCTATATATACATATATAGCTCAGCCAGTGAGCACCTTTCACAGAGGCTTTGTTCCAACTAAATCATTACTTGCAGTTTCACTCGATTCTGTTTGCATCCCTCTTCAAGCACACACGCAGGAGAGTCATCTATCACGTAACTCTCCACAGGATACCAAACTCATCATTCGCAAACTCTGAGAGTCCCATAAAAAGCCTAAAGTAAACAGGAACCAAGAAGAAGCAGAAGTGTGATGGTGTTAACTCTCACTGTGCAGGCAGTGCAACTCCTGTACTTGAAACTGCAGTTACAAGATGATTTGCTCTACTCCATGCCAGACAGAAAATTTACCTGCTTCACTTCCCCTGCACTGTCTGACAAACTGAACTTGTCCATCTGCACAACTGTCCTAAATAATGAAATATAATTTTTGAGTCTAAATGAGGAACATAATGCTCTGAACCAGCCTGCCAAGTGGCAAATTATGCAACTGCATGAAGCCATATCCTTCTAAGGAAAAAACAAAAATACTTTGAATCTTTTCTTTTTTACTTCTTGTGATGCAGTAATACATACTCTTCTGCACATGCATTCAAAGGGCTGTCAATGAAGGCTGGTATTGTCTCTCTTCCCTTCCATTCATGGTCCTGAGTAAAAATTTGAGAATGATGTGCTAGCAGCATTCATTTGGCTCTTTAAAAATAGAAGTTAGCACTTAAACAATGCTGCCAACATTTGTTTATGCAAAATAAGAAATGAGAGAAATGGACACATTGCAACAGAAATTCTGAAATAGTCTACTCAGAAGCAAAGAATAATGCTGTACATGAGAAAATGGTTGTTAAAATGAACCTTTCATTACAAATCATGCTCCTTATACTGGAATTGCATAACACATGGAACCTGTTTCACTGGTGCATCCAAATATGAAGCTAAAATGTTAGTCTCCATACCACAAGGTTTCAGTCTCAAAGTCTGAAAACAGTCAAGTGATGTGCATGGAACAAGCAAGATTTGCTGACACAGTAACAGCAGTCTGACCATAAGCAAAGATCATCAGTGGGATGATCAAAAATTTGAATCGTGTAAAGCTTGATGTGGAAAGGTAATGAAAGGATGAGGAAGCAACACAAAGTTGTGGGAGTACAGCCAATAGAAACTTGTACTCTCTGAGGATATAGTTACTTGAATACATAATTTGTGACTGAACTACTTTTATTTTCCATACTAAACCCCTCTGGAGAAAGGCATGTTGACAAAATATGAAACAGTGTTACAAGACACAACACATCATTAACATGGATGCAACTGAAGGCCATTTCGGCTATAATCAAGGTTAGTATCTGCCAGAGCGTCCTTCCCTCTCCTTATCAGAACGGCCCCTTTCACCACCTTTACCCTTACGCCGATCCCTGTCACGATCGCGACCTCCTCGAGAGCGAGATCGTGATCTTGAGCGACGGTATCCAGCAATCTTCTCACCATCACGATCACGGCTACGACTTCGGGAGCGAGACCTAAAATGGAAATACAGACACCATGCAAACATCCTGTTTCATTAACTAACTCTGTGATGCAAAGTCTTCTAAAAGAGTTTGAGAGTTATACGATCAAGAAATTTCCTGCTGTCATCATGGAACTCGTGATTCATCACCATCTGAGCCAACTAGATCCAGTAAACATCATCACACTTTACACCTAAATTTTTACATTATCTGCTCTGTAGTTAATGCTTTCCAATCAAAGTAGGCCTTTCTTACACCCTGTAATGGACTTTTACAGCTGCTGCTCCAGTTGTTTGGTTATTCTGACACTCCCTCAGTGGGGCACTTTACCATTCTAAAATACATACACACACACACACACACACACACACACACACTACACGTCACTGCTGAAAATTACATTCAGCACCTCTTACGTGTTTCATGACTGCCCCTTCAAACACCTAGACAAGAGGCAGGGGAGTCACAGGCAGTACTTTCCCTAAAAGTAGCTTCTATCTGCTCTAGAACAGTACTCTTTAGTTATAAAAGTAACTCATTACACAAAAAATTACTTACCGCAGACCCCAAAAGAGTTCTTATGTGATCAGTGACAAAAAACTGAACACCCTATGATAAAATCAGGTCATTATGAGACAAAGAATATATACACTTCCTTCTCAACAGCAGAAATGAGGAGGATGGAAGATAATACATGAGAAACTATGGTCTTTATTAAAATGGGTATAGCAAATTAAACATTCCATTGTCCTTTCACAAAGTTTTCAATCTTGTTGCCGAGTGCTATAGTATACAACTGACTGGTGCTTCCATCTTCCAGAAAAGTTTTGCAGCTAAATGAAATCAGCGAAGCACATGCCAAATGTAATCAATCCGTTTCATATTTGTGCATGCTGAATACATACAATTGAACTGAGGAGATGTGGAAACTGCGTAGCTTAAATGGCTATCTTGTTGCCGAGTGCTATAGTATACAACTGACTGGTGCTTCCATCTTCCAGAAAAGTTTTGCAGCTAAATGAAATCAGCGAAGCACATGCCAAATGTAATCAATCCGTTTCATATTTGTGCATGCTGAATACATACAATTGAACTGAGGAGATGTGGAAACTGCGTAGCTTAAATGGCTATCTTGTTGCCGAGTGCTATAGTATACAACTGACTGGTGCTTCCATCTTCCAGAAAAGTTTTGCAGCTAAATGAAATCAGCGAAGCACATGCCAAATGTAATCAATCCGTTTCATATTTGTGCATGGTGAATACATACAATTGAACTGAGGAGATGTGGAAACTGCGTAGCCTAAATGGCTAGAGGTTCTGTTTTGTGTTGTCACCACATACGTACAGCACAACCTCAATATGATGTGAGAATTTATAAAATTAGAAAAATGTTCATTCTAATGGACACAAATAATATAAAAAAATGACTGAAATATGAAACTACAACTTTGTTCCCTAACTCCCAATTACATACATGTAATATAATATAGCACTAAAGTCTGAATAATAATGTGAGCGTGGCAGCATTTCTTCTCCTTTCGAGTAGTCATCATGGGGATACGAATATAACGAAAAATAATTCAATATCTTCATTGTTGTCAGCATTATTCAAATTGAACAGTTACAGATTTCCTTTAAACTTACCTAACTCTTCTACTTAAAACCAACTGCCAATCAGGTGTCACTGCTTATGACTGACAATCCCACTTACTATTCCCTGCATGCTTGAAGTCCCACCCATATTCCACCCATAATTCGCTGCATGTGCACCCATCAGAGAATATATACACTGACTTGTACTGAACTTGAGTAACAGAAAAACTCATGATACAGTTTAAATCTCATTAATGTTTGGCATATGGGCATTATGCTTTAGGTTCATGACTGGAATATACTCAACTTTCTGATAATAAAGTTCGTAACCTTGCCACTGTGTGCCGTGGCAGCAGTAACACAGAAACCTCAGTACGGTTTGAAGATGTCAGCATATCAGCATTTCACATCTGTGCTGTTGTTGACCTATGGCAATCTCTTTCTGGGTGGCATCAATTATTCTATGTTTTGGTGTGCCGTCACAAGAACGTTGCGAAGAACATTAACTTTCTTGTTAAACTTGGCAAGAGTGGATGCAAAATCATAGAGATGTTAGTGTAAGTTTACAGGGATAATGCTATGAGGAAAACAGCAGGTTACAAGTGGGTAACACATTTTTCTGAGGGGAGGTCACTGACAAAGAGAGATCAGGACTGCCAGCAATGAGCAGAACTGAAGAAAATGTTGCAAAAGTTCATCAAACTGTGCGTGGAAATCGTCAGCTACCAGAAGCATAGCTGAGCAAACAAACATCAGGAAATAAACAGTTAGGAAAATCTTACCTGAGGATCTTGACATGAGGAAGGTGTGTGCAAAAATTGTCAGAAAGGACCTGCTCATACGGCACTGACTGTGAGGGAGTTTTTAGCTAGTAAACAAACAACTTTGCTGGAACACCCACCCTATTCGCCTGATCTAGGCCCCACTGACTCTTTTCTGTTCCCATAGATAAAGGAAATACTGAAAGGAAGGCATTTTGATGACACTGACAACATCAGGAGTAACACGATGGCAGCTCTGAAAACCAATCCACAAAATCAGTTCCAAATTATTTTGAAGGGTGGACTAGGCACACTGGCATTGGTGCATAGATTCCCAAGGGGAGCACTTTGAAGGTGACCACAGTGATATTCAGAAATGAGGTATGCAGCACTTTTACTGTGTAAGCTCACGATCTTTATTGTCAGACCACGTATGTAAGAAATGGTTGTGAAACAGCCATCATACCTATCTGCTTAACTGTCAAACATGTGTTATCATAGTGACATATAAACTGTATACAAATCCATAACTGTTTAATTTTCTAAACTAATAAAATTAACTGTTACTTATGAACAATTAGCAGACTTATCAAGATAAATGTATGGTGAAAAAAGCAATGGTTTTATGTGATGGTTTCCCACATATGTAACAAGAAATCACCAGATACAGTAGAATTTAACCAAGCAACGAAGACCTCATACTCACTATCAGTTTCAGTGCAACTGCTTGGTGGCCTCTAACTGTTTTATTTATTACAACAAAGAATAAAGAAAGAATAACACTTTGCTTGCAGAACTTTCAAACCAAGATTTTCATCGTAGACTTGAAAACAAGTACAGCAGATCAAGTTTATTTTGTGTCTGGAGTTAGTCTGTTTTGACAGCTTTGAGAATAACTATACCAAGTTGAATTACCACAATAATGTAAGACGTGCCCTCATATTCTACAGCTATTACAGGCTTCACCTACAAAATTTGAATGAAATTTTACCAATATAATAGCAGTTACAGTCCTTTCAGCGTAACAATCATGCACTTACAGCCCTGTCGTTTCTGTACTCAGGTTATTTAAATTAATTTAAATCCTCAAGCATGGAGGAAAGAAGTTCTGCCAAAGCTTAAACAGGTCAACATTCCACTACCATGGGTGCAACATGTAGAGGTTTCAACTGTTTACTCACCTTCTTCCTCTTCTACGACGACTGTACAAATATCGCCGCAACTCTCGTGAGATTGGCTTTAAGTGCATGAAGTTGCAGAATCCACTGCGAGTACATTCACTGGAACGTCAGAGAGCGAATTAGCTTCAAGTAAATCTCTCCGGACATTCAAAGTCAAAGTTTCTTAAAGCAGCTTAAATTAGGTCAGTCCAAAGATTCTACATAGCAGTAAATTATACACACTTTACATATATGGAATCCACTTCACTATGAACGTTATCAGCCGAATGATTTATTGGCAAAATTTAACTGGTCTAAGTGCATGGGGAAACCCAGCCCCTCTAATAATAATAATAATAATAATAATAATAATAAAATATTGGCAAAATTCACATGCACCTTGCAGTGCACCAGTTGCCATGAAGTGCAGAGCTGTGAACCAGTCGACAAAGGTAAGAACTTCCCCATTCATTAGTATCATATAAAATGGTTAATTCTACTTGTGTAACATGGAATTGATGTTTCTGTTTCCGCTGTCAGTACGTACAGTATTCTACGTGCTTGGCTTGAGAGGTGTTGTGTGTATGCTTAGTGAATGCTGTAGTGGTATGCAAGGTGTGCTCTGGTGAGCGTAGATCTTCCCTTGTGCACCAGCAGAAAATCTTGAACTAATACACAGTAAAGTCACAGTTTCATTTTCTTGATAACTGCCTGACACGTGGTGTAGGGCAGTTGTGTCCCCTGCGAAAGCCTATGCAAAGATTTTCAAGGTGAAGCCATTAGCAACTCCTTTACACCCTGCACCAGCTGACTAGACAGCTCCAGCTCCTTCATGCTGATCTGGTGCTCAGTCATCTTCAAGTTTTTCATCAATTTCTGAATACAACAGTTCAATGACAATGACCCATCCAAAATTTGTTCCAAAATGCTGTTTGAAACAGCTTGAATGACCCAGTTTGTCAGGATTTGTGAATCAGGATTGAGCATATATTTCCATCACAAGAATAAACACAGATTATCACATATTTCACACCAAAATTTTCCAAATACAGATGAAACATTTCACTAAAGCCCAGCAGACAAACAGAAAATGTAATAAGGTGCTCCATAGGTTTGGTAACATGCCTAAACTGGAGTAGGAAAGGAATATGCATGCTCACACAGTAGCAGAGGAAACAAAAATATACATATGTACGGAAGTCAAAAAGTTCCTGGAATTCCCCTGCAGATGGAGAACGCGCGATAACATAGCGCGCACACTGTTGTGGTGGGGAGCTCAGCATGTCTGCTCACAGGCGCAACAGGTCTGGACAGGTTTCAGTGCACAGTGTTGTTACTCTTCCGTCTGAATTAGGCATGCGTGTTGGTCATTCGGCGCAGTGTCGCAGTTCGAACAGCATGCAAACATCAAGTTCATGTGCAAATTGGGAAAATCTGCTTCAGAGACGCAATTGACCCTCCAGCAAGTTTACAGTGATACTGCACTAAAGAAATCTGCAGTTTACGACTGGTTTTCCTGGTTTAAGAATGGGCAGGAGACGTTAGAGGATGACCAGTGCAGCGGGAGACCTTCAACATCCAGAACCAAGGAAATGATTGGAAAAGTGCAACAACTGAATCAATGTGATCGAAGAATGACCATCACGGAGTTGGAGTAAAGAAGCTGGTATCTCTCATGGATTCTTTCATGTGATTTGAAGATGAGACACATCAGAGCGAAGTTTGTTCCAAGGCAGCTGACCACGGATCAGATGGAATGTCACATGATGGTCGCTGTTGATCTGTTTGACAAAAGTATGCAGGACCCAATGTTTCTCAAAAAGATCGTCACTGGTGTTCGCCTACGACCCGGAGAGTGGCACACAGCGTCGTCTCCCTGGCCAAAAAATCATGCCTCGTCATATCCAAAGACAAAGTGATGCTCATTGCATTCTTTGACATTGACGGTTTGGTGCATCATGAGTTTGTACCGCCTGGACAGACTGTTGTTACTGGCCATTTCTACGTGCAAGTTTTGCAGAGGTTGCACGATGCGGTTCGGGGGAAGTGGTGCGACAAGTGGCATGACAGTGGTTTCTGCATCACGACAACGCACTGAGCCACACACAGCTTGTTGTGCAGCAATTCCTCGCCGAGGAAAACATTCCTGTCATCATTCAACCATCGTACTCTCCAAATCTCGCTCCAAGTGACTTTTGGCTGTTCCCTACTCTGAAAATGGGCCTCAACGGGACAAGTTTCACAACCATGGTGGACATCAAATCGAATGTGATGGCTAAGCTCCAGAAGATTAAAAAAGAAGCCTTCCAACACTGCTTCCAACAATGGCAGGATCAATGGAGCAAGTGTGTGTGAGCGCAAGGGTCCTACTTTGAAGGTGATTAGGTAAGTGTTGCCGTATGTCCCACCATTAGAGTGCTATAACACCATTTTGGGAACGTTTTGACTGCCCCTCGTATAAAAATGAAGTATGAAAGAAGACATATGCAAGGAGAAAAAAATTACAGAAAATAGAGCAGTAAAGAACAAGTGTGCTCACTGAATAGGGTGGGAATATATACATGACATACAACTTGTTTAATATACGCATCAAAGTCATACTCTAACAGGGCACTACACTAAGAAAAGAAAACAGATCTACTTACAATGCAGTCTAAAACCAATGAAAATATTTTCTGAATAGCAATCTTCTGCTCAAACAATAGAAGAACTTGTTTTTGTGTATAATGACCTACAAGAACTACAAAGTATTGCAAGTGGTCTTGGAATTAATGCTGCAGTGAATGTTTGTGCTTATCCAAGCAAGCATTAAGATCAATTCCTGCAACTTTTTCCTATATTTTATTTCAAATATTTATCAAGATACTGGTAGGTTAAAAAAATATTTGTGCTCTTACGTAAAGTTGGTGTTAAAATTGTCGCCTAACGAAAACTGAAATGTCTTTACAATTTTTAGTAAAATTCTACAATATCAGATTCGATAAGATCATCAAGTTATTTTATGACAGAGTGGTTTTAAAAGGCACTCCACATGAATGCAAATGTGCCTAAAGAAGACAGAATGGATAAGAAAATAAGAAAGCAAAGAAAGAACCTTTAGCGGATCTCTCGGAAGTATTACATCACTGACATAAATGCTGTGTACTCACAGGAAGAAAACGTTTCAAAGTAGTACTAAAAAAAGAAGTTTGATTCATAAGCATGGAACTAACCCCATCTCATACTGTCGGCAACAAGCTTCACGAAAATCTGTCACTGGACTCAATTCTGCATACACAGGTCTTCCACCAAACCAACGGTTGTTCAGATCAGAAACAGCTTTCTCTGCATCTTCCTCACGTCGGAACTGTGCAGAATAAAAATTACTTATACCATTTACAAATGATGTAACATTACAAAACACACAAATGAACAGACTTACCTTAATATACACATTGCCCACCAAATGGTCTCCCAGATTGTCACACACATTCATCTCCTCGATCTCTCCATACTGAAACAGTAAATATCCGTTTTATGCACATACTTTACTCAGAGACAGTGGTTCCGGAATTATGCAATGGCATGCTGTAGTAGTGCCTCCTTTCACAAAAGGTAAGGTGCCTAACTAAGTACCATATACACCATGAAGATGTCTGGAGATATATCTCTCATACTCCTTAACCTGTTGCTAAATGGGAGTGAGTCATCAACTCCATGCCTCAGACACTTTAACCCCAGCAAAAGGACTCCTGACTTCCGCCAGACAGGAGGATGGGTTGTTCCCAGGGCTAGTTTCAACACGCTGGTCAAAGGCATAATCCCTGCTTCTGCCAGGAATTGAACCCTAGTACAGCCCAGCCAATTATGATGACTGAATTCCCATAGTGCAATCTATATAAAAAAAAAAATAATTTCTCACATGAAACTTGGCCTAAGAGATATTACATCTTTTTTTATAATGATTTTTGCTATTAATTAACATTGTTCTCAGTATTTTTAGGTGTATTCTATGTTTAAAAAAATTTAAATGTTTCAATCATGCAAATGCCTACAACTTTCTTTCTAGGGAAAAAGAGCACTCCTCACAGCCATGGAATATCCAGAATCTCAAGCCATCTGATCCTACTTAAGACAAATTAATCTATTTCTAATTATGAGTTAAAAATATATTTCACCTGTCAGAGGGTACCCTAGCAGACAAGTTTTCAGTCACTATGAATGTAACAATATCAGTTATGAACACTGCTGACTATTACATATTACAGAACTGCATTACATCTGATCAAAAAGTATTGTGGCTGAATTCATATCTCAAATCACACTGCACAATCATTTGGCTGCAATGAATGTGTCCTGACATGTTACTGAAAATCCACATGTTTAGGGCTCATTAAACTGCTTCAGCTGTCACTGGTTAGCATTTAAGTTAACAGTATAAGCCAGATCAACGTGCTCAGGCAAGTTACTGTGATGGATAAGTGGGAAGATAGGTGACAATACAAGCAATCATAAAAGCTATGTTCACCACAAAGAATTAGAAGATTATTAACATAAAAAGCTTTTAATGGTGAAGCAGAATTATCATTCATGAATTAACTGTTTCAATTGGTAGGTGCCATCAACACCAAGAACCATAATCACGTTTGTAGACAACTACGAGTTGTTGCTCTTAAGCAGGGAAGCTCTGAAGTTTACAGACAGAGGAACACAGCCAGTCCATGTCTCACACTAATGGTAACACCATTTAAATGTACCATATGCTATGCCCAATTTCTTCTGTGCCTTTGAAGTTAGCATTGTCATACGATGGGCAGTGAACAGCACAGTGCATTCCTTTAAAGGAGCATTTCACTATTCAACACGCCATAAAAGGAAACATCCTTTTGGAATATGAACTGCTATATTATGTTCAACAGCACTGGAGCTATGAATAGATCAACTCTACTGACAACTACTGCTTATTTATTTGTGATTTATTTCACTACACCGTTAACAGCTAGCATGAAATGACAGGATGAATGTTACTATCTTCTGGAATGTCACATCATGTAGTCTAGGAGATGCTTAGGGACACTTCAGAGGAATGTACTGCCCCCATGTCCATAATCTGTTACAATATTTGTTACAAAGTTTTCATTGGTTTCTGCACTGTCAAGCATGCCATGGGCTGCACACAAAGAGTTTTCTTTCTCCTCTGCCAGCAGTTGCAGAACAGGCTTTGCCGAGACATGCTCCTAATTGCTGGGCTTATTCTTTGATCTTTAAGATGGAGGTAATAAAGTCTTCCAAAAAGTCAGTAAACATCTAATACAATTCATTGCACAACAACCCAAAAGATAGCATTCTTTGCAGACATCACATCATATGAACCCCAAATCCCATAAATGACAGGATGGATAATGAACTGGAAAGGATGTGGAAGGAAGCAGTCACGGCCTAACATGAGGTACTGTCCCATCACTTGGCCAGAGGGACTGAGGACAGTTGGGGTCAAAGCTGAGTTCTGAACTTTGGATCTACCAGATATGAAGCAGGAATGATAAATATTCTGACCACCATTCAAACATTAGCAACAATTAAGCAGTAGTTTAGGTTGGTTAACTGTGGAAGAGACATGACTTTGTTATGGCCACTTTAACAGAACATTTGGAAATGGCATGTGTCTCAATCAAGTCCATTACCTTGCTGCAGACATAAAAGCAGAAAGAAAACTGCTTGTCTGTGGCTTCTGATTTGCCTGACTGAGTAGAAATTGGTGAAAACATAACACATATTACAACATGTGATGAAACAAAGTTATAATACCATAACCTCTGCAGCAGTCATCACAATGTTCTGTGGCTGAAACAAAGCTTGCCAAATGTGTAGTAAAACCAGAGTGATGACAATTATTTAAATTATGAGTGTGCTGCAAAATACCAGACTATTAACCAGAACAGTTACAAGTTCTGAGATGTCTCCATAATGTGAGAATCCAGGAGGCAGCAAATTCATCCCAACACTTCGCTACCTGTCCATTTAACTCAGCTGAGAGACAATTCTTAGCTACACACAGTATTCTGCAAATGAGACAGCCTTCCTACTCACCAAATGTGGTCCTCTGTGACATTTTCTGTTTCCTAGCCTTAAAATCAGATTTAACAGCGTGGAAACAGTTGAGCATAATGTGACAGAGTTGCCAGTAGTGGTTTCAAAGGTTCTTCCGGCACTGGCAGGAAGATTGAAACATATGAGAATAGGTGTCTACTTTAGAAGGGATTAAGATTCAACACTTTTCATAGAGTCAATATTGTACTTTTGAAGGCCATATATATGCACGATAAACACAGAGATAAATATTCGAGACATACTGCTTGGATCTATCCTCCTTATTCCACATTAATCCGTCTCCTGCTCCCGTTAAACATTACTTTCAAGATTCCAAACAAAATTTTTGTCTTTATGGTGGATACATACAGTGTGAGCTATACAACTGCTTACAGCATAATCTTGGAATACATTGTGAGAGAAGTCTGAACTTACCATTATTTTACAATTGTTGAAATGATGTCCTCTCACATTTCACAGCAATTAACAAATGTTGCGACACTTCTTTAGAAATTCACCACCCACGATTTCACATGTTTTCCAATCCAACATTTCACTCAAGAATGTTATGCAACATATCCTTAACCCTTTTGGAAGCCAAGACAGCGCAGTCTGTATAGCAACTGACTATGGGCTGGACAACACAGGGGTCGGAATTCGAGTACTGGTAGGGTCAAGAATTTTCTCTATTTCCATGTCATGCAGACCGGCTCTGATGCCCACCCAACCTCCTATCCAATGGGTACTGGGAGCTCTTTCCCTGGGGGAAAAACGGCAGGGACATGAAGCTGACCACTCACCTCCAACTTGTGCAAAGGTCAAGAAAATGTGGATCTATACATCATCTCCCCCATATTCCTTCATGGTGAAGTGCTTAATTAGTTAAGCAAAGGGGCAACTTTACCTTTACCCTAACCCCTTTGATCTAACTACTGTAATACTACATGAATAAACTACAAATCAGAAAACTACTACTTTTCTCTACACATCTCCTAGCAAGGTTACACCATACTTGAACTCTGCCATTTTGCTCCTAATGCAACACAGTGCTGTCCTAACAAATTGTCACTATAGGCACATACCCACATAAACTGGTACACATTTTTCAGGTTAGGAAGAAATAGAGGTGCCCCTCTTGATTGAACACCATGCTATGAAGCTATATACTTGGAAATGTCTGACAGCGAAGATCCAAGAATCCCATATTTCAACATCACATCAAAATAATTCACGCTTCAGGTTTTTAAACACCAATTGGATAGGAGTCTGGGAGGTATACATAATGGCATATAGGAGTCATTTGTCCCTGCCAGGAAGTATTATAAAGGTTAATTAACACCGTCCAGTGTGACTGATAAAATGTTTTCTCCTTTTTAATCTTTTATCCTTGACAGGTTTCAGTCTTATAGACCATCTTCAGAAGGATATCAATTCAATTAGAAACTGCTATTACAATGTGTATGGTGAATATTAATATATACATACAAAGTTATCATAATACAATGAATACAAAATTTAATATTTTAACAACTACAGTGGCGTGTACTAATACGTTAAAATATTTATCAATTAACTTATCATACTTAACAACATGGTTATATTATACTGGTACATAATTTTTATTAATATCAACAAGAAATAGTTATTTAAATAAATTGATACACCTCACCTGTTATTTATATTCTACAAAATAACTATATTAATTAATTAACTTGCCAATCATTTACATCCTATGAACATACTGCATGTTGAACAAATTGAAATATGTGATTCATGATAATTTTTAAAAATTTACTGGGCCAAATTGGTAGGGGGGGGGGCACTAGGGTACAGAACCTGGGACCTTCACATCATTAGTCTGTAATGTTATCCCTCAGTTACAATTTCTCAGTAACCAGCAAGTCAACTTCTCCAAAGGGAAAACTACACAAATAATTTCACAAACTAAGTCCCACTGAATGAAAGTGTAAGATATGTCTCTATTTTCTGTCTACTTCCCAATCATCTCACTTTCACTGACACCCCAAACCCAAGTCTGATGACATGTCCTTACTTCTCGGTGTTTGAAAAGCATCTGCAAATGTTGTCTGTTCTAAAAGTCTGCTTAATTTCCAATTAAAAGGTTAGACAGCATCCTTCAGGAAGTATTTTGTTTGAATCTCAGCCAGGTTACTCGTTATCCTTAAGCTTCCTGTTGTCTTCCTCAGGTCTTCCACAAACATGATGGGATAGTACCTACAAATGTGTCATACCTGGTTTGAAATCTATGCCTTCTCACCATTCATGATCACCTTCTCACTTCACACAACACTACATAACTCATGCTGATTATGACACTATATAACTCATTCAGATGAATCATCTTGTTGAAAGATTGCTCTTCTTCAGAGTAGAGCAGAGTACGCGATAACTGCAAGAAGTCTGTTGGAAACAGTAGTCGATCTGTTAAAAGTATTAAAGTAACGTTTTAGGAGTTCACAAGAAAATATGTCACCAGCAGAATAATATCAGCAATGAAAAATGAAGAAAACTGAGCAATATTTCTCTCACACTGCTTCCACTAAAATATGAGCTGATAAATAAAAAACACCGAACTATCTCTGCTGCCTGACAACTTTGCAACTTCTACCTTTGACCATACTCTTCTCTTATTTCTACTTGCACTACCATCAGTCACTTTGGTATACCATTTCAATCTGTTGCATTCTCTGGTTCTTTGCCTTTCACTTATAACTTTATAGCCCTTCCAAATACTCTTCTCATACACCTTCATTTTTCATATACAAATAATTACAATCTTTCCATTGCTAATTCCCTGAAACAACCATTTACAAGAAAAAACTTGAGAATAGGGAGCACTAATAAATTTAGTTCACCAAACTATCTTTGTACATCATTACAGTTCAATACTAATATCAGCACTTTCTACTAACAATGGTGAGAGCATATATTTTCCAATGTGTTATGCAATAGTGGATAAAATTAACACACCTATGTATGACTTTATTTAACATTTCCTCAACTGCAGAGGTTATTGGCATCATAGCTGGATGACTGTGAATAAAGAAATGGAAATATAGAAAGAAGCAGTCTTGTCCTTTTAAAGGTACTTTGCCAGTAATCTCTAGAAAAACTCATTAAAAACCTGGAAATGAGCAGATCTCAAAGCCAAGGTTTAAACCTACAATCTCCCAGATATATTGTGGTAATCACTTGACCACATGTGGTAAAGAAATGTGACAAGGGGAAATTTACAAAAGCAAGAGCATTTACGCACAGACATGCCAGCATATACAAATTATGATGGTATTAAACAATAATTAATAAATATATTGTCATGTTTATGAATGAATGTAGACGGGGTCTGGATTGGTAATTGGATTTACGCAACATTTACTAATTGTAACCACAAGTAACTATAGTGCCATCATTAATTCACGCACTAACAGCAACAGCTTATGACAACTTAACTGCAACTGTCCTCCTCAGGGTAGCAAATCAATCAGGCTTCTCCTCTATCTATATTGTGGTACACTCTGTTGGTCCACCCACAGTCATCACTTTTCATAGCAAAGATGTCTCCCTACTCAGCGAAGAGCTCTTCCAACTCTCAGGATCTGGCATCACTCAGGTTTGGTCTGCTGCTGCACCAGGTCCTATAACTGTGGCTGTTCCACATCAGGTGGGGTCACCAACATGACTGGCTCATAAGTGTGCCAGAAGGGTTCCTTTCATGAGCTTCTGGTCACAACAGGTAGCATTCAGGACCCTCATGGGCACCTCCTGGAAGTCTCAGACCAGGGTGCTAGCTATATAGAGTCCTTCAGGCAGATGGTCTTCCAGCCTAACTTCTGCCAGGCCATTTTCCACTTTGAGGGGGCCCTCCAATCAAGCCATCAACACTCCCTTGCACTGTGCAGGTATCACTTCATCACTGGCCACTACCAGGCTGGAGCCCAGTCCCAAAGCTCCATAGCAATACCTCTTCCTCTGCACAGTGGCATCATATGTGGACAGGATGTTCAGCCCCAAGACAAACTCATTTGTGATATTCACAATGAATACCCAAATTTTTAGTGGGGCCCATCCCAGGGTCAGGGTCAAGAGAACTTCCTTCAAGATGGAAAGGGCTTCCCAAGATACCATCTGTGGTATGTAGTGTTGAATTTAAAACTCACCAATATCAAATTTCAAGACAATCTGCTCACCAGTTCTTAAATTATTTCATGCATAAGACAGAATGAGAGACAGAGTGAACTTAATATGGGTTCTGCAGGATTGTGAATGCATCTAAAAGTGTAGAACAATATAAATGGAACATATGAAGCATACAGGACTGTTCATAGCTTTTTAAAATGAAAATTCTAGCATTTGCTGAGACTGAGGAAAATTAAGCCTGTACGCAAAGTCAGTTACTGATTGGTATTTGAATTGGATGCCCCAAGAATGAGTCAGCCATGGAGCTAACAACAATATTATATATAACTGAACTCCATTTAAGGTTTCTCTTGATACCAGTATGTTTGATGACTGAACTGAGAAAATTGTAATGGAGGTCATTTACACTAAGATTATTGACTTGACCCTCAAGACTGAATATCAAAAGAGGGAAAACTTTAAACTGAGGAAAAATAGACTGAGGTTCCACTGTCTAAAATATACTGCACTTTTACGAACTCTAACTTATGTTAAACTTCTCCTTTTTATACATAACATAAGGTAAGAGGTAAGTTATCCTTGGGTTTAATGAATTAACCACTATGCAATGAAGATGTACAGGGGACTGGAGGAACAGCCCCACTATTCTTAACCTCAGCACTAGATGGAAATGAGTATTGCTCCCTGCCCCACATGGAACATGGGCCCCAGTACCCACTGCATAAGAGACTGTGTGGACCCCAGAGCAGGTCTGAACATTATGGAGAAAAGAAAATCTCTTGCCCCTGCTGGGTATCAAACCTTGCCTCCTCCAGCCCACAGCCTAGTCACCATATGGAATGTGCTATACTGGCTCCTTTCAAACATACATACATGCAAAATATAAGGAAGTCCTATGACAATCTGTGGTGTTTTCCAAGTATCAACAATGGCATAAACTGACAAAAATTTGCCACAGGACATCTACAGGAAAACATCCATGTCAGCAATACTAGATATTACACTGCACAGAATCACTAATTACAGTCACACTTGATAAAATATTCAGCATATCAAATACTGTACAACCAAACAAAAGCTGCAGACCTTAATTTATATTTTTAATATATTTTTTACGCACTGTGCTATTCTTCTGAAACCTCATAAATTTTGATCAAAATTTCATATAAAGGGGATGTTATTTTCACCAGAGAGGAATGCAAATAGCTGTGAATCAACTTTTAGTGAAGATCTGCAAAACTGAATTCAATCAGAATCTATCAAATCAAATACAGACAAGAAGAAAGGCAAAGAAATATGGACTCCCCATTATTTAGACTTTAAAGGATTCTGATGATGGTGTATGCTGTACAGAACTATAAGGTTTAGTTTGGACTCTAGCCATCGTCTGGATACAGTCCAAAATAAACCTTAGAGTTCCCCATTATTTGTTCGTTTTATGCACCTGGTACACAAAAACAAATTACAGACTTAATGAGCTAAATGCTTGAAGTTATGTTAGAAGCCATGACTTATACAGGATGTGATTTCAGCCTAAGAGATGAATGCCTCCTAACAGTTATTTCTCCCTGTTGAATGAATAATCTACAAACCAAATTACTAAAAATTAACCAGAGTCCTGATTTTTATTACCTTATCTTCACACTCCACGAAAACATCTTCAAAGAAGTTGTCATAATGCTCCTGCATCTCTTCATCAGACACATTTGCAACCACTGAAATTAGAAAAAAATTAACACACTCCCGACCGCCATCGAAGACTTATGAAGTGTTTTCGGTCTATGATTTTATGCTTGTCGGTCAATAGGTTTCAAATTTAATTCAACCATGATGCAATGTCATAATTCAGACATTTTGCAACAGATGGCATTGTATGGCAATGCTAAAAAAAGTGTTTTCTCTCTAATGGTTCTGAGTACGGTCTTTTGGATCTTCCTGGCTTCTGCACACCCAACAAAGGTTAAGGAATTAATTTCTACAGAGCAAGCACCCATAGAACATACTTCCATTTACTCCCGTAACGGATGCTGAAGATAATAACTAGTAGAAGGGACAAATAACTTACAATGGAATCCAAACCACAACACAGATCTGCAATTTCCAAGTGTTTGAGTCAAAGGAACAGGAAAGGCATCCAAGCAATACTGGAACTGGCCAGTCTTGAACTCAATGCTTTTGGCATGAGGGCCCAGCACTATACCAGATACAAAATGTAAAGGCATATGAGGGATGTAAATGAATGTGATATGCACTACTTCTGATGTTCCAAGTGATAACAGTGTTACAAGATCAGTTCTCTCCATTAAACTAAGCAAGGTAACCCTACATACTGGCAATATTATAAGAATGAAAAAGTCACATATTTCTTACCTTCAGTAATATATATATTTATATAACTCTGATGAAACTGCAATCATTGCATAAAACTACAAGGGAAAAGCTAGTGGCTTATCTTGAACACTTGATTCACTCCACTCAATGCTAATGAAACTGTAGTCACTACCACCTCAGTGACATGCCCTAGTACTCTGTCCCAAAATATTTCTTTGTGAAAATCTTCCTCTGTAGCTGTTTGGCATTCCTAACCTGGGAAACCTTGGCTTCATTCACACATCTCTCGAAAACTATTATTCTATCCATACTGCCCTACTGTACCACTTCACCTTAGCCCACCCACATAATTTTATTGGGTATGACTGACAATAAGGAGGTAAATGAATTACCAGATGTCCCATATGGATTGCTATGTGGTCCAGTTTGCAGTTTTGATGAGCTGTATACAGTTCAACCCGCTTCATCAACTCTGGAATATTATCTAAGTGATCATACTCAACACCACACTTTCATAACCAGTACATGATTTCATCTCTATGTGTGTTTTTATTATGGAGTCTGTCCACGAAAACTGAATAGTAGTTTGCATTATCCACAATTATAATTAATCCCGTCTATGGAAAACTGGGGAATGAATTCTCAAATTACAGGCAATCATTTCCAAATGGTAATGAGAACCACATGACTGTGGTCATGACTGAAATACCCATCTATTCTTCGGAATGAAGACACTTTCTGCAGCTCTTACATGACACACTTTCTCTGGCAGAACTGTGAGGCCTCCTCTCTCTGTCAAATCCTGCCATGTATTGAATGATCATGATTTAACCATGTTTCATCTAGGTAGAAAAATGGGTGCTCATCACCACAAACCTTCAGATTGTGCAGAGTTCTTAAACACTTCACTTGAGCAGCAATGATTTGACCCCTTCCTAACAAGAAATCTTAACCATCACCAGATATTCTGTACATAGAACCAATAATTTTCAGTAACTGATACACTACTAATGAAGAGCCAGTACAGCTAATTCTGTCTCGCACTAAGTGAGATTCTTTGCAGATGGAAAAAGTCTGTCATCATAAAATTCACATTAAACTTAAGACACATTTTGGTACATTCCAATTCCTCCCTAGAGACCTATATGTTCCCCTGGTTTCTTAGCCTCACAGCAAATATGTGACACTGTATGCACACTCACACCACATGCATCACATGTCATATCCTGACTTTTAGAGAAATCTACTTTCACACACTGAAAATAATATTTCTGACTTGTCCATGCATAAATTTAAATTTGCTGGCAGCAGAATCACTTGTGCCTGGTTCACTTACTGTCAAAGTAATAACTGCAGATATAATACACAGCCATTTATAAACCCAAATCAAATTCTTGCTGTTTCAATTGTAATTTCACTATTTCTGCAGAGAAAATTCTTACATCTATACATTCCAGCTACACACAGGATAGCAACTGATCCATACTGATCAATGAAGAAATAACCATTTATAACAGGAGTAGAAAGACTGGCTGAAAGTGTGCACATGTATCTGATAAGAAGTTGCTAACTTCAGAACCTCAAATGTATAAACATGGGACTTGAACTGACAGCTTCAGTTTGATGCCATTGTTCTAAGGTATTGTTTTATGCAGATTTTCTTAGTACAAATGATAAAATATATATGCATTGCCATAGTGGCATTCGGCATACTGCAATACTGCAAATTTTGCAAGACTTGCGAATTCTCACTGAAGTTTTCTCCATCCCACCTCATATGCCTTTAATTTTTGCATCCACTTTAGACCACAAGACCCCCATATACCAGAAAACACTTTATATATGTTCCATTAAGCTTGTCTGAAGATTTCTATAGGTATGTAACAATAATCTTGACTGTTATTTTGAACACTGTCCATCATCTTCAGTTTTTTAAAACACAGCATTTCGGATATTGGATCTGTTTCTATCACCACAAGTAACACCTACTTAAAAAATTACAGACAATGGAAAACATCCAAAGTAACAGTGTCGGTTAAATGTCTCATTATTTTTATATCCATGTAAGCCAGTGATCAAAGGCGACCATTCCAAAAGAGGAACACAGACCATTTTTTCTCTCTTTAGTATAAAATTTGGATACAGAGAAAATGGCAGTCTGAGAGCAGACCAAAAAGGGCATACAAAAGGGAATTTTCAAACATTACAGAATAAACCACTTTCAGACAGAAAGGGCATTTTTCACACATTTCAGAAGAAATAAGCTTCAGACAAAAGTAGACACACTTTTGCCGAATGATGACAACCCACAATTTTTACAATGGAAAATGTTTTGAATATTTGGATTTCTGAAAGATGGGTATGCTAATATTGTTTTTTAACTCTTACATCTTGCAAAAAGTGACCGGTCTGCAGGGTTGTCACTTAAAAGTACTATCCGGTCGGGAATGTGTTAAGTTAGAAAGCCTGATTTTGTTTATCTGAATCATGCTTAATCTAAACAGTATTCTTATATCAGGCAGATAATTGTATATCCCTTGGCACATAGCGCACATACATACATATGATCTCACAACAAAGAATATATGTCCTATGCTTTGTTATCATTAAAACACGGACTCAATCTTGGAAGCAGAATGTTCAAATAAAAAAAACGAAGAGAGAACTGCAACAGACACAATGACATGATATTACATAGCACCACAGTAACAATATTCTGCTTTGCCACATTATAATTCAAGACAGCTGCCAACCTCTGCACAGTAACCTGAATCACTGAAATGGGTTGCCACATTCACTACAATTTCAAAACAGGTGACAACTTTTCTATAGATAAGCGCCATCTTCAAAACAATGACATGTGATACATGACAAAATTCAGTATGCCTGCCCTCCTGACAGAACTCTTATACAGGCACAAAGCATAAATGAGCAGGAATCTTAAAAGGTTTGACACAATCGTGGTTGACTATTATACCTGACATCATTGTCTGAGGTGAAGGTGATATACATATTACGAAAGTTAGCTCTATGCCCGTCTCCAGGTGATTAGTGGCCATGACAGATTTTATATTACATTTTTATATTGAGATTAGTGGCAATGGATGGAACTGGATTCACAAAATCATCTGAAGGGTATCACAAAAGAATCCGAATATGAACATCTTTAATATAATGAACAATGGCATTCAACATACAAAATTTGAATAAAAATAATTACAGGGATGAATCAGAGAACTGCATCTCTCATGCAAAACCCAAACAAATGTATGTGTGTATATAGGAAACAATGGATCAGAGTGTCCTGTTGTGTTTCCTTGATTAACAAATATGCAAAATTTCATTAGCACAACTACTGTCACAGATGTATCAATTATTTACATTTCTTTTATTATGCAGCAGGTTTTGGCCTATTGGCCACTATCAGGCTACTTCACATGTACTGCCACTTAAATGTTCTAGTTGCACTGGTCAATGTTTACAAATCTGAGTTTACATGCATGTTAACAATTATTTGGAAAATTGTACAGACTATAGAGAGTAAGTCAAAAAGTCAAATTTGTTGTTTTGTTAATTTTTCTTAAAACTTTAAAAGTTGGGAGGTTATTACTTTATATTCCATTTTACCTGAACCACTTGAGCATAAAAAAACTTGAATGAGCCATTTAAAGTGTAATGCAATGGCTACACCGATTACTATTTGCTACTGTGAAAACCATGCAAGCCTTTTTCAAAGATGATTGGTAGTGCCTATTTTATTATATATGTTATTCTATGTTGTTTCTATATCAGTTCTTGACTATCTCTTCCATTTTCAATCAGTTCCTCATTCATGTAGTAGAGTGGAGTGCTCTGAGTCCCATTCCTCTCACACCACAAACCACCCCCAAACCAGTAACAGCCCCCTCAACATACACAATAAGCAAAGTTTCATAACCAATAACACATAACCAAAATTAATTGAAAACCCCTGAGTAGCCAGTACATGTACCACATACAGAGGATAACACATGCACCAAATAACCACAACATAAAAATCACATAAAAGAGAATACCAACATAAGCAATACACTCCACAACATGACCACACAACTGACTGTAAAAACATGAGTCAGTGACAACACTGTCACATGTATGAGTGACTACAGAGAGGGACTGGTAACTAGACTGACTGCACCCTTACAGAGTATAACTACAAGTAACTATAGCACTATCGCTAATTCACACACTCAGCAGTTCACTGCAGCAAATACTAAGTCTTCTCAGTCTGCTGTGTCTTCGCAAGTTGCTGTATGGTAATGGCTTCCAAAGGTGAACGTTCCCCTTCCTCTGGATTCCCGAAACGTCCCTGTGCCTCAGCTGCCAGCTTCACCACAGCAGTCCTCTAACTCATTCACTCACTCACTCACCAACCAACTTGATTCACTCCACTGCACTATCTGAACTNGCCTATTTAGAAAATTGTTGCATAGCAATGGCCATTGTCTTACTGTTTGTTTCACAGTTGTTGCCTAGCAATGTGTCTACATGCCACAATATACACTGAAGAGCATATATAACAAAACTGGTGTTACCAAACAGCTTCAAAACGAAGCAGGGTTTTCATGACATCAAACACTGATCACTATCTGACAGAACATTTTATTACAACACAATAAATTTAACTTATTTATTATAAGTCTATACAGTTTATTCAATAACTGCACCATATATATATATAGATTCAATCTGTAAACACTGACCAATGTAGCTAATTACAGTGAAGCAACAATACATATAAAATAACCTGAAAATGGCCAATATGCCAAAACAATGTTGGATAATAAAGGAACTGTACATAATTGTTACAACTGCATACAATAGTTGTGTCGACAGAACTTCTCATATTTCTGTGTGTGTGTGTGTTCGCAAAACCTGAAGTCCCAACCATAAATACAATACAAAACTGGAAGAAACATCTAGCTGCAAAACAGAAGATAACTCTTGGAATGAGGGTCACCAAATAGTTAACTCCCCATTGACCTGCTTGTATGGGAAACAGGGTGTGCACGTTACACAAACCTGCTGGTTCCACACAAAAACTGTTAGAGAAACTCAATACAAAACCAAAACACAGCCCGGCTTTATTTCTTGGGTAGAAGTCTTCCCAAGTGACACTCTGGGTATAACACATTATTCCACAATACAATCACACATTCAACAATAAGGGCCAGGGATTAGCAAGTAAAGTGCGTGAGGAATGACAATGGTTAGTGATGTGGTTCAGAGAACTTCCATGTTGCAGGTGAACATACTTGGGCTGTTAGGAAAGTAATCTCCATTTATTTTAGACAACTAATGTAAGAGCACAGGAGAGCTCACATATGCAAGGTAGCAATCACATGACTCATTGCCTTGTAAAGCACCATACAACTGGTCACCTAGTGTATGTTCTTATCCTTACGGAGCGAGTTATGATATGTTCTGCACCTGATAATACTGCCAGCTGTAAAATTCGTGCTGTTGTCCACTTTTTTTCATGCTAGAAACATGAGTGCTGTAGAAATCCATCATGAATTCTGCACAGTTCACAGCCAAAATGTAAAAACTGTAAAAAATGGTGTAGAATGTTCAAAGATGGGCGAACAAATGTTCACAATGTACAGCGAAGTGGTCAACCATATGTAGTGAGTGATCATCTTGTCCAAAGTGTTGACCAAAAAATTTCTGAAAAACAGCGCTTCACAATTTCAGAAATTTCATACACTGTTCTCTATGAGATTATCAGTTAGGCTAGGCTATTACAAGTTCTGCAAAAGATGGGTTCAAAAAATGCTAATGGGTGTGCACATAATGCAAAGAATGGCCTCGGTTTCGAGGCAATGAATTTCTCAGTCACATCATATGAGTAACAGACGATGAAACCTGGGTTTCATTTGTGAATGCTGAAACCAAAGCGCCAAAAAAGATTAAAGAAATCCTGTATGCCAGAAAGTTGACAGCAACTGTTTTCTGGGACAGGAAAGAAGTTCTGATGGTGGAATTCATGTAACAAGGGACCACAGTAATGTCAAAAGTGTACTGCCAAACACTTAAAAAAACAATAAAACCATTCAGAACAAAAGGCTTGGAATGCTGACATATGGTGTAGTGCTCCTCCACGACAATGTGTACTCACATATAGCTGCTTGCACTTAAGCACGACAGGAGCATTTCAATTGGGAGTTGTTCGGCCACCCTCCTTTGAGCCCTGATCTCACTCTAAGTGACTACTACCACCTGTTTACCTATCTCAAGAACTGGGTGACATCACAACGCTTTAGCAACGCTTTAGGTGTCAAAATGTGGCTGACACAGGGATACAAAAACTCATTCCCCGATACAACAAGTACCTCAAATTTAGCAGTGACTATGTCAAGAAGTCAGCTTAAGCATGTATGTATTTTTTGTATAAAATAAATTCTATTCTCATTGCTTGTTTTGTTAACAGCTCACTGGAGGTTATTTTCTGAACAGCCCTAGTACATGCACCATAAATTTGTTTTTAAATTACTATAAAAATAGAAACTTCCTTTTGAAATTTTTGCTAGTTGAATGAGTATTACAGATGGACGGATATGAGAAATCCAGGAGTCTACTGTACGTAGAAACCTCAATTATGTGACATAAAGTAATATAAGTAGAGGCATAACCATCTCTGACGTGGTCCAATGGTCTAGTGATTAATGTACTAACCTATGTTCAAAAGGTCCCGAGTTCAACTGAAACAATCACCAATACCTAAACAACAACAACAACAATAATAATTTGTCAGTATAAATATAGCAGATGGGGGGGGGACATCATCAGAACTATCAAACTGGTTTAACGGTTAGCATGCAATTGAAAAGGATCTATGTTTAGTTCCAACCAACCACTGCCACAATGCTCAAAAACATGAAATCCACTTTTCAGGTTCCTTTAGGAAGAAGTGGATTTGGACATTTCAACTGAAAAACATCTTAAATGCATGACATTTACAACAGATTGGTGGCTTTGGACCAAGGACACTACACATCAGATAAGCGGGAACCTTAGATCAAGGAACATTAAATGGGATGTATTTATAGAAAATAAAAAGTGTGTCAGTCTAATGACAACAAACACCTGAAGATGACAACACAACCAACAGCTGAAATATCATGTATATTAAATGTACCTCTGACAATGACCAACATTCAACAAAATACTGGCATAATCACTGAGAATATGCTGGAAGGAAAGTGTTCACAACAGACCGTCATTAATGGACTCCCTGTAATGCATATTCATATTGGATGTTGTAGATTTAAAATCACTTCATAACAATTACAAGATTACATACTGTTGTATCCAGCAATAGGTATCATTTGGGGTGGCAGGCTGGGGGAGACTGACTTTCAGCTTGGCTATAGGTTGAAGAGGATATCTGAATGACGGATTTGGAGCCATGAGCCAGAATTTTAAAATTTGATATCCATAAACATGGAAAAATGTTATAACAATATTCCAAAAACATCAGAAGCCATATCAGCCTGCCATCCAGGATTTCAGCTCAGTGCACTAATGACATGACTGAAATAATGCTTTCAAGTAACCATGACTGACAGTTACAGAAAAGCCTTAGGTATGTTTCACTTTGCTTAAATATCATGAAAACCATTAGCTACCCACTGGAAAAAGTCAAACCTGACCACTTTATTTTTAAATAAGTATTTTAATTTCATCATGCACTACATTTTTACATAAAAAAGGCATAATTCAGAAGCATTTACTTGCACTCTCAAACAAGAAATTAAGTTTTGGAACAATGAATCAGAAAAACAGAACACTTTCACTTACAGTGTGAGCCATCAGCTGATTTTGCGGAATTCTGTGGATTCACATACAAGTTCTGGAGGAGAACAGTCTACAAGAAAACAAGACAGGTTATTTTGAGAGATTATATCATCTATTATACACTTCTTGGTTTCAAGTGAACAGCTAATCACACAGAATAACAGAGTACTGTCTGCCAGGATGATGCCAAAGCACACAAAACTTTAGTAAAGGATATACAGAACTACAGAATAATGATTACAGAAAACCTCACTGACCATGTGGGTCATATTCGTGAAAACAAGCATAGCTTACAAAATCACTACTGGCAAGGTCTTGTGTGAAAGTGGGTGTCTGGGTAACTGCAACTGCTGTTAACACTCATCAAAGCCTAGGTACAGATACAGGGAGGTTCTTACATTTGTTGACCAGTTCATGGCTCTGCACTGCCCCCTCCAAGGCACACACGAACTTTGACAATGAATCAGTATATCCGAAGGTTGACAATGTTTGAATTATGGGAAGTTATTAACTTTGCAGACCACTTCATGGCATTACGTTTTACAGCAAGCAGTGCGGTTCATGTGTGGGAATTTGTTTATGATTTGTCAGTAGTGGGCAGCAGCTATCAGTTCCATTTGTAGTTTGTTCTCAGTTATGTTACAATTAGTAAGATGCGTGGTTTGTCATGGGGCAGTATACATAGGAGCAACATGTATTTCTGTATGACACCTACATAAAATACAGATCTGCTAGAAAATGTTGGCAAAAATGTCATGAAGAAACAGTTCCCAGCAGACAAATAATTCACAATTTGGTGAATAAACTTAGATCATAAGAACTCTTAGAGACATAAAACAAAAACATACGTGCCGAGTTCTTACTGAGGAAGCGTTAGATGACATAGGAGCCACACTTGAACGTGCACCTAGAAAAGCACTGAAACTTCTAGCTCATGAGACTGGAGTGTCAAAGTCTAGTGCAAGAAGGGCAACACAATTGCTGAAGCTCAGAACCTATAAAAGAACAGTAATCCACGCCTTGCTGCTCTGCGATCCAGCTTGTAGGGTTCATTTTTGTAGTTGGTTTCTACAGCCTGTCATCAAAGGTGCGATCAATCTGCAACTGACATCACAAATATTCCTGCAGAGCGTCTTCAAACAACAAATCAGAACCTCTTCCACTGGGACTAGGAATGTCTACATGTTGGGGGGGGGGGCATTTTCAACACATCTTGTGATCTGTGAACTGCAACTACTTCATTCTGAATGTTAATTCATCAGCAAAATTCGTATGCACCTCGCAGCCAGCAGTGAACTGGTCGCCATGAAGTGCAGAGCTGTGAACCGGTTAAGAAAGGTGAGAACCTCCCTGTAGAATTCCAGGTTTCCAGTTATGGGAACTTGTGAGATCAATCCACCAATCGAGGCTAATACTAAAATCGATCTCACATAAACAGGGTGTGAGGATGTGGAACAGTTTCAAAGGGCCACCGCAGGCCTGTCCCCAGTACTCGTAAATGTGGATATCCTGATGCAAAAGCCCACTGATTTTTTGGGCCCTAATTGAATGCACAATTATGCTCTTAAGATGTGTATACAAATCTGACTGATGACACCCTGTACATATACAAGTTAAAAACCACAAACATGAAACCGAACACCACAGAAAACTGGATACAAACTGAAACCTGTGGCTACTTGATCTCTGTGGTTGGCAAGGAATTACTGCATGTTCAATGTATACCAACCTGGCTGAAAGTTGGCTTGTTGTGAATTCGTGAACAACGATCCCCATGTCTGCAAGCCCCTATCTTGAAGTAAAATGAGCAGTTTACTCTGAAAAAAAATTAAAGGTTGCATTAAATTATTTCAGTTTACTTAACAAGGCATCTTAGTTACAACATTACTTCTTATTTAAAAGCCACATACTAAAATAAGATTCAAGTCACATTCTGCCTCTCATTTAAAGATCACGTAATCTTCCTTCCAGTAACTTTCATTATGTCATACTTCCCATATGAGTTGCAATTAAGATTTACTTGCAGTCGATCAATGTTAAGTAAAAACTGTCATTAATTATCTAAGTTATACAAGTCACACAGAGACTTCATCAACAGCATCTTTACCGAACAAGGTAAACAACAAAAATATGCCAATTCCACAACAAATTACAGGAAACTAAGATGAATGAACAAAAATATGCATTAAATCACGGCAAATTCTACCAGAAACCACAAGTTTGTAGCTTATAACAAATAAATATCAAACATTAAGAAAACAGAAAATCCAGAGAGACAATACACCAGTGTCCAACAACTCTTTCCAGCATTTATATCTCGAATATAAGGAGTTCTCCATGACAACAGCCTAGTCAACCAGAACAATGCCTTCAATATCAGCAATTACAGAAGAAACAAACACATGTGGGAGATTTCAAATGCAACAGCTCATCATAACAACACAACCAACTTCAATTATGAATACTCAAAAGCACTTTTTAGTCTTAATTCTAATTTTAACTTTTAATACTTTAATCACTGACAAAGTTTCAAATCTCCTCACAAACCACATAATCATCAGTTTTTAGAATTTAATATAGATGTTGGTCAACTGCTACAAAAAAAGATGCAAAAACAAATGCATTACAAGCTGAGGACAGCCAATTGGGCCAAAGTATGGAGTTCAAGGCTCTCACATTTTCTCTAGAGAATCAGCTCACAGATGGCAGTAAGGTTGTTAGCCTTACTTGCCAGCCGCCCTTTACTCCCAGGGAAGATTCCTGGTACTCATTTCTGTTAGAAGCTGAGTTGACCCCAAGGTCATAGTGCAGCTGGAAGGATTAGGGCAAAGGAAAGAAACCATCTCATCAGGACATGAACCTGTGACCATCTGGCCTGTAGCACAGTGCCTCAACCAATCACACTACTGTGTGTGTGTATTGACACAAATTTCACATATAACTTATAATGATATGATGTTCCACTGTCAAATGCCAAAAGAAATGTCGTTGCAATGAAACTAGGTTTATTTTTTTCCAGTGGCAACTGAAGTACAAGAAGCTGAATCTAGCGGGGGGAAGCCCCAAAATGGAATATTTTGTGATTTAAGTGAATCATGTTGGTTTAAATCATGATATTCTAGTTGCCAAATTAAATTCACATGGTGGCATTGTGACCTCATGGTTTGGATCATATTTAACACATCACAAGCAAATTTGTTAAAATAAACTATACATGTATCTTTCAGCACTAAAATAAATTAAACATGGTTGTGCCCCAAGCTTCAATTTTCAAGCTGACTTTTTTATACATAAATGACTAGCCAATAACTATCACAGAGAAAAGACCAGTTCTATTTGCAGATGCTACAAACACTTTAGCAGAAAACAAGCAGACCCTCCAGCAAACAATAAAATAGGATTATGAATAATTTGCATTCATGGTTTTATGCAAATGGCCTTAGACTAAGTCCTGAAAACAACAGCAGGATCATTTCATAATAACGAAGAAAGAGATCCATAAAAAACCTCAAGACAAATTTGACAATATAGATATTACTAGTAATTCTGAAACAAAATTCTTAGGCATAAACATTAGTGAATATATGAAATGGTATCCATATGTAAGGTCACTAAGATCTAAACACAGTAAATTTTGTTATATGATAAAATCTCTTGAGGATATAACAAGCCCATACGTTAAGGAATATTTATTTTGCATATTCTCATATCTGAAGTGTGGCTTCATTTACTACAGTGGTGACAAAAAAGTATAAAAGTTAAAAGTAGAGCTATCCCTGTAACAGGCCGTGAAGGCCCATGGGCCTTTGTGAGACATTGGGGGTCCCACATTATCTACACAATCGGCTCAAAGATGGCGGTAAGGCTGTCAGCCTTATGCGCCAGCCG